CCTGCCTGTTAACATCTCCTAGTTAATTATCATAGGCTGTATTTTTGGCATCAGGGCTGAGCTGGAGGAGGGGAGGGGGGTGTTGGGGTGGGATCTCCGTCACAATACCAGTTTTAGGAGTCGTTTATCTTGTCTTTTAGACTAATTATCCCAAACTCACCACTAGGCTGTCACACTTACATGCTCCAATAAATGTAGTTTTAAATCAGCCACTGACTTTGTGGCTGGGGTGGCAGCATCCCTGGTTCGTGTCTAACTAGGGCCATCCATCTGCAATCATGGCACTGAGGGGAGGTGGCACTGTTCGGCCTGTATGAATGATCATGCTTATTTATATGCAAATACGTTTGACAAATCAATAATGTATGATTTAGCTGTTCGGTGTGTGTTAGTACATGGGCTGCCTATCCCAGGTGGGGGGTCCAGGGAAGGGTCTTTTGGCCTCTAGCTCCTTCCAATGAGCCTTCTCTTATCTCGGCCCTTCTCTTCTATCTTTGGCTTCCAAGGTTCTCAAGTTCAAGGCTCCTTTTTCCCTTGTTCAGACCAAGAATTTGTTTCTCTGTCTTCATCCTTATCTTGGACTCTGCTTTAGTTAGAACTTGTCCCTTTTATTAGACTAAACACACTATTCAACAAATATTTATTGTGCACTTACTATCGTATTTCTGACTGTATATACTTATATCCACGTATTGTCACGGATTTTGTTGCTGTGACCAACCTGACACAAAAACTTAAGTAGGGAAGGATTTACTTTGGGGAAGGCTTGGTAACAGCAGCAGGAGGCAGCAGGTGGGTCACATTACTATAGTCAGGAAGTGTGGCAGGGCTATAAAATCTCAAGACCCTGTCCTAGTGACCCACTTTCTGCAGTGGTCCACTTATGACAGGCTCTACAACCTTCCCAAGCAGCACCACCAGCTGGGAACAAAATGTTGAAACACATGAGCCCGTGGGGGCCATTTCACATGTAGCCCACAATGGTCCATGTATGACACAAGTCCTTTGACTGTATGTACTTTTTCCAAGCATGCTTCTGGAGTGCTCTGTATGTAGTCACACATAGTCCCCCTAATGAGTTGGTGTCAGACCCATTTTACAGACAGGGAAACAGAGTCACTGGATTGTCCAGAACTGTACAGCAAGAGAACATCTTTTGAGAGGCAAAATCAGGCCAGGCCAGGCTCTGCTTTTATCTTCTGATCTTTGTTGTGAAGTGCAGAGTCTGTATCGTGGGTGAGGAGGTAAAGATGAGACTCTGACCTTATGCAGCGTTTGATCTGGGGTTAAGAACATGAGCCGAATATAAGTCTCAACAAAACAATGTACAGGTTGTGATTGCTGCTATGACAACGATGGAGTCAAAAAACTTAACCTGACTGAGTGCTGTGCAGTGGAGAGAGTCCAAAGGGGGGGGGGGCGGCAGCTCAGCTTTTCCCACTCTCGGGGGCTTCTGATCTACTGCATGGGGCTGGCAATAATATTGTTAGATGAAGACTCAAAAGTAGTGTCAGAGTTCTGGAGAAGGACTGTGAGGAGAGTGGGCCATTTTGACCTCAGGGAGACCTTTAACACAGACGAGGGGCGCTAAGTGGCAGATAGATGCCTTATCTCAGTCACCACCCACCGCCATGTTCAGGCACATGCTCCAATTACTCCCAATTCCTGATGAGAAGACTGGGACCCACTCAGGTTAAGTGGCTTAAGCTTAAGCAAGATTACACAGTGAGGGTGTGGGAGGGTGCTGGCATTGGAAACAGATCCACTCTTTCTGGTTCCTACTAAAGCTGAGTCCTTCAGAAGCCCCTGGAAGAGTGGTTCTCAACCGGTGAGTCATGACCCCCAGAGGGGATCACATATTAGATATTCTGCATATCAGTTGTTTACATTACAATTCATAACTGGCAAAATTACAGTTATGAGGTAGCAATGAAAATAATTTTATGTGGCGGTTACCACAACGGGAGGAACTGTGTTAAAGGGTGGCAGCATTGGGAAGGTGGAGAACTGCTGCTTTAGAGTACGGCCTGTCTGGGGGCTGACTCAAGGTCTGGTTTCATCTTTCCATTTCACGTAGATCCATCCAACCTTGCTGATAGATAGGTTCAGAGCCAATGTATCCTCAGGGTAGTGCTCCCCTTCACTCTACAGTAGTTCCCTGTACCTCTCAGAAACAAGCCTTGTGTCTCTGCACAGCCCACTCTGAGTTATAGCCAAATAGAGCTACCACTCAAACTATTTCCTCAGCTGAACACTCCTCTTTGCTGAGACAACTTTCTCCTTCAAGTCTCTGTGCACATTTCCCTTCCTCTAAGATACCTTAATAGATTCTGGTAAAGCAAAATAGCTGCCCCTCATTTGGCTTCCATTTGCTCCAGGTGTAACTACTTTCCTAGATGGCCTCCAATGATCCTGGCTTCCTTGTACTCGTGTCCTTCTTGTATACTCGTATATCATGTCATTTATTCAGTGATCAATAGGGTACAGCCAAAGTGATGGTTTGTGACTTCTGTTTCTAGCTCTTAAGAGACACCAGTCCTTCCTTCCTTCCTTCCTTCCTTCCTTCCTCCCTTCCTTCCTTTTTCCTCCCCTCCTCCTCCTCCTCCTCTTCTTCTTGATCTCTTGCATGTTGAGAGGGCACTTGGCTCTTTGTAAGGCCGATGTGGCAAGGAGATGAAGTCTCCTGCAAACAATCAGTGCTGGCATCGAACCCTCTCTAGCCCCAATGTACCCTTCTAGTCATTACGCCCGCTAACATCCTGACAGCCACCTTATGAGAAATCCTGGGCAAAACTCAGCCAGTAAAAGCCGTTTTAAGCTTCTGGCTCACAGGAGCTGTGTTCCATAATAAACATTTACTGTTTGAAGCCACTAAGCTTGGAATAATTTGTTAAGCAGATATAGACATTGACTGTATCGAACAGATCCTCTTTTTAATATTTTTCCACTTGTCTGTGGGCTCCCTGAGGGTGGGACTGTGTCTTTTTCTCAGTCTTGTCCTTATCATTTGGCAAGGGTCTTGGCACTTATCAGGTTTTTACTTGTCTGATTCCAGGGTAGGGGGTTTACAGACCCTTCACAGGGAGGGACTGGGCTGATTCCTGATTTGATTTCTTGAAAAGAGTGCTGTCTTCCCAGAGAGAACCATGCCATTCTCCGTTCTCTCCTTTTTGTTCCTTTTGCATGACTTGGAAGTCACCATGGGATGGATTGAGCAGGTTCCCTTCTCCTTAGAAGTTCCCAAGATCCTGAAGCAAGTGGCAGGAAGATATTTTGCTGACTTGTAAATTGAGAAGCCAAGGCTGCCCTGGGGTCGGGGGGGGGGGGGGGGGGGGGGGGGGTCATCAATTCCAGTTAGTAGCTCCCTTCCTGCCTGTGGAGGCTGTTCCTGCTGCATCCCTGGACCATTAGTGCTTGTTCTCCTTAGCACTGGTAGCCAGTCCCAGCTCTGGGTTGGACACATTCACTTCCTGCAGGGCTCATGGCCATGAAATATTCAGTGACAGTGACTTCTCTCATATTTCTTCATATTCAGGGTGGCCACTCAATTGATATGTAAATAAAGCGCACTAGCATTGAGCCTGTCCCACGCTGCATTATTTAAGCCTCAAAACGGTGCATCATCCGTCATGGGGCCCATTGGAGGGACCCTGCTGGGTGCTGGGCAATAAAGCCCGCAAGAGCCTCATCAGAAGCAGCGGGTGGCCTAGTGGAAGTTCATTTATGCATGAAATATTCAGCCAGCAACAGTACCAGTCTTAAACATCAGTAATTGGGGGGTTTCTATTGCTCCTAACTAGTGCCTCTAAATTATTGCAAAAGACTGGCCAATTTACAAATTACACATATTTGTCATGCTCTTGTACCTTTCCTGAGCTAACCGAAACTGCCTGTGTTGCGGCTGTGCACATACTTGCCATGGTGATCGGTGCCCAGAGGAGCTGGCTCCTCCGTGGAGCCGAGTGGAACCTGCATCACATGTGCAAGCCCTGCCTGCCATTCACTTCCTAATCCCAATTGATGACAATGACCCCTCTATGGACCACTCACTGCCTCCTTCTCCTGAGGTCAGGTGTCTGAAGGAGCCAAACATACTCCAGGATTTCCTGGCTCCACTATCTGCTCTTTCATGTTCTTGCATAGCTCTGTGTGAGGTAATTTCCCATCCAACAAACATTTACAAAACATCTGGGTGAGATGTTGAGGCACAACATAGACCCAAAGCAGAGGTCTTCAAGGAGCTCATAGTTCTGTTTGGATTGCACAACACTGGAGTGCTGTCTGCAGTTGGCTTCTCCTAGGCAGACTCTGAGCCTGTAAATGGTTGCAAATGGTTTACTTGGGAGATAACCTCAGGAAACAGTGCTGGGAATATGAACATGGGGTGGGGAAGGGAAAGGCATTCCTGGAGGAAGGGTTAGTAAGGGTGACAACTGGGGCTCAGCCTCTAGGACCTCATTAGAGGTGTTGAATACAAGAAAGTTACCACATTAAAGGGGGAAGGGACTGGGGTATGCATCCAACCTTAGGAGGACGCTGTAGAGAGGGTTCCTCGTTGTGCAGTGGGAGGATGCTGGCAAAGGCAATAGGTTTGGCGTCTTCCCCAGCATCACCTGGGGGAACCAGCAACTGTCTTATGACCATCTGGATGAGGCAGGTTTTTTTCTTCTCTGGATTCTGGCACAGTCCCTATGGGCACTGGTACTTCAGGTTTTCTGGGATGAGGTGGGGGTATGGAGACCCCTGTGGGGGTGGCTGCTAACCTTTTTGGCAAAGGGGCTCTTGCCCTTTGGATGAGTGCTGCCTACATTGGGCAAGAGTGGGAAGAAAACTGATAATGGAAAAACTCTGATTATCCCAAGAATGCATTTTTACCCAGCTGGTGACAGCCTTCTGGTCTCAATGAAGTCATCTCCTCAGAGGGGACTTTGTCACCACTGATCCAGAAGACCACCCCACCCCTCACTCATCTGCTTGCCTTTGTTGTTTCTGCTTCCCAGCTCCCAAGAATGAATGGCTAATCTGTTCTACTTGCTCCTGTACCCAGGCAACTCACTCAACACCAGGCTCACAGAGGGTCTTCGGAGATTGTTGCTCCAAGGGTGAGCAAGTGCATGAGGTAGGTACTTTGACTCCTGTCACAGATATAGTGGGGTTGGGAGACATTGGGGAGTAGACCATGTGGTGAAGTTAGGCCTGGAACAGAAGCATTGATCCCAGTATTCTTCAGTAAGCACAGCCTCATGTTTCCCTTCTAAACCCTCAGCACCCCACAAGCATTATCATCCTTTTGAACTGGAAAATCTCCTGGAGGCCAAATTCAGCATTAAGAGACACAGGACATGAGTTTCTGAAAGCTCATCTGTATCCCTGCTCATGCCAGGCCCAGCAGGCTAGAGTGTGGATGCTGTGTGAGGAAGCTGTTTCCTGTCCCCGCAGGGACATACTGCTGGGCACTGAATCTCCAGTCTCAGCTATTAAAGGAATTAAAGTTCCCAGGGAAGAGAAAAGATCCAGGAAACCCTTCAGGACCAAAGTATTTTTTGGATAACTCCTTAAAGGCATTTCCTGTACAGGTAGCCATTTCCTTTTCTTTTATCTTTTTATTACCATATATTAATTGCACATAATATTGAATTTTATTATGGCATTTATATATATATATATATATTCACACACACACACACACACACACACACACACTTATTCAATATTACCCTTGTCTCTTCCTATCCCTTTCTTTTCCCAGTAACTAGTCACCCTTCTACTTTGTGTGTGTGTGTGTGTGTGTGTGTGTGTGAGAGAGAGAGAGAGAGAGAGAGAGAGGGAGAGAGAGGGAGAGAGAGAGACTCTGAAATTAGACTCACTTACAGGAGCATGGGCAGTTTACTATTGGGTACACTACTGAAAGAAATGTTCTGTCCCCTAGCAACCATCAAGGATGGATGGGTGGGGCCTCTTGAATACGTCTCTCCTCCATGATGAAGCTCCATCTTGTATAGGTTTTGTTCAGGCAATCACAGCTTCACTATCCATCTTATGCCCAGAAGACAGTATTCTACTCCTCTCTCTGGCTTTTACACTCTTTTTGTCCCCTTTTCCATGATGATCTCTGAGCCTTGGGGCAGGGGTGGTATCGATATAGATGTCCTAATCAAGGCTGAACATTCAATAGTCACTTATTCTCATCACTCTGACCAAATATAAACATTTGCAATAACAAATGCCCATGACTAAGAGAAGGTTATCTGACCAAATCTGACAAAAGCTCTAATCTATGGGCATAAACATAATTTATCAGAAGGCAATTTGATGGGTCATCATGTCCACTTAGCAACAGCAATTGCTTCTCCACTAGAGCCTATGACCTCCTTAGCTATGGGCTTTGGACCATGTTTATGGTACCAGATGTGATTTCTCTCCTGTGGAGTGAAATCAAATCCAAGCAGAGGGTGGTTGGTTATCTCCATAACAGACTTGCCACTACTGCACCAGCGGCCACATCTTTGCCTGTCAGGTGATCAGTGTACCAAGCAGGACACACAGTTGAGTAAGACCAGTGATGAGAATTTTCCCCATGCAACCTGCTTAATACCTTTGAGGGAGTAGGTCTTTCTTTGTCCTTCTTTGCAATGGGCTGGAATTTCTTACTCTTTTGAAAACTAATACATATGAGTCTAAGTGGAATTAGATAAAACAACAAAAATATGAAATGATCTTAGCTTTATTCACTCATTTTAATTCTCTCTATTATATATAGTATAATATATATATATGTGTGTGTGTGTGTGTGTGTGTGTGTGTGTGTATTTGAGACAGAGTATTTCAAATGACCTAGAATTCACTATGTAGTCCAGACTGACCTTGGACTTATGGAAAACCTACTTTAGACTCAAAATGCTAGGAATACAAATATGAGCCATCATGCCAGGTTTATGATTTCCTATTTATAGGAAGTCATAATGATAACTGAAAAGGATTGCTATGTATGACTCTACCCAGATTTCCTCAAAGTTGACACATTATTGTGTTTCTTTGTTTATGTGTGTGTGCATACACATATAAATAAACATTTTCTAAACTGTTTGGTAGGAAATAGTGTGCCTTTCTTTGCTAATTCTGTGCCCAAGCTCCACAGCTATGAAAGACACCATTCTGTTTTCTCCTCCTCCTTAAGATTTACTTTTATATTTATTTGTGTGTGAGTGTGTGTGTGTGTTTGTCTACCACATATGTGTGGGTGCCCTTGGAAGCCAGAAAAGAGTGTTGGATCCCCTGGAGGTAGAGTTACAGGTGGTTGGTTGTAAACTGACTAATGTGGGTGCTGGGAAATGTACTCTGGTCCCACCCCATCAGCCTATTTCTTGCTCCAAACGTTTGTGTGTGCCATTTCCAGTGTCAGGAAAGAGCTAGGAAAACTGCTATTTACCTTTGTGCTTTGTTTTAAGATTTCCCAACTCTGGAAACCCAGAAACCCTTCTCTTTTGCTTATTCTGAGGACTGAAAATGGTTTTCTTCAACTAGACTGGAGCTCCTTGAGGGCAGACCTGGGGCTCATTCGCAGTGCAAACCTTAGCTCAGATGAGTAGCTGGAAAATGTGGGTGGGATGAATTAGAATAACTAATAAATAACACTATTTAGTCCACTTCTAAGATATTTTAATCTACATGCCCACATTCTGCACTCCTTAGTTTGCTAAGAGGCCTGGGAACTGGAGGGATTTCCATAAGGAAAAAGGGAAACAGTGTTCTGGTTTGATTTGGGCAGAACATTGGTTGTTACTCTCCTCCTCCCATATTTCAACAGTTTCTGCATTTCACCCTTTCAGATTGCCCTGGGTCCAGCCAGGAGTTGCCTGCTTCTCTTCCGTTTCTAAGCTTCCCAAACAAACTTCCTATTAATGCTTGCCTGATGCAAATGTCAAATGGTCCTGTGTGGATGCTATTAAAATAATGAATGCAGAAGGGGATAGATGAACAAGGCTGGGAATCGATCTTGGACCCCTGATGAGATCATTAAGAACTTGGGGGGGAGGGGAGGAGGCATCATTCTCACAGGTTGAAATTTCAGTAGTGCCTCTTCTTCCCCTCCATCAACTCCTTTCCTCCTTCCTGTCTCCCTGCTGATTTATGGGCTGGAGCCTTCCCTCCCCCCACCCATTACCCTCAATGCAGTGCTAACTCACCATGGAAAATCTATTTGTGTCAAATGGAATTTTATCTTGGCCCAGGAATTAATGCAGTTTGTAAAAGATGTTTTAATCACACTTTCCTTAATGCAAGAGTATTGAAAAAAAAAAGCTTCCCTAAAGACTCAGGCAGGTGTCATGAAAATGTTTCTTAGCTTCTTGATGAGGGCACATAGCAACTGGTCTAGACTTGGTCATATATGGTGGAAGAAAGAAAAACTGTCCTGGGAGGGTTCAGCTAGGTGATGGAGAAGGGCATGGGGAGTGCTTTAAATTAAATCCTTAAGAGAAGTAGACTCGATTATTATTGTCAATGATTCTTCTTGGACTTATGTTCTCAGGACTATAGAATAAAGATTTAACTTCTGAGAATTTGATTCAATTCATGGAAGAGGGAGCAGATGTGGGGATAAAAAAGCCTGGTATGCACAGGTCCAAATCCCAGTGGCTCCACTTCCTGGATGTGTGAGGATGTCTCCCTGAGGTGCAGTAAAATGGGAATTACCTTCTTTAGCACTCCCTGCATCATGTGATGATTGGATGAACAGATACACAGGAAACTGCACAGCTTGAGGCTGGAGCAGAGGGAGCCCTTCCATGGTTGCTGGTTGTCCCTCATTTCTCCCTGTTTTCCTCCTCCCCTAGAGTCAGAAGACATTAGGTCATGCTGTAACATTGACACTGCAGACTAGCCAGGCAAGGAGTAGGCACTTTCCAAATATACACAGAGTGAAAGACTAGCTTATCTTGGGGATTACTGGCACAATGCACTATCTTTTTGGCCAATAAAGAAAATAATTCTGTAAAAAAGATACCACTCTTGCTGGTAGCTCATAGGTTTGCTGTTTTCGTTGCAGCCTGTCTGAATCCCCACCCCCTGCTGCCATGTTTATTCTGTCTCCATGTTATTACTTTAATGCTTCTATTATCTAACTTTTTAATATTTACTTGTTTACTCTGTGCCTATCCTTCCACTGGATTCAAAGCTTCTCCATGGCCTATGTTTTTCTCACATATCATTGTATTGTTAGGACCTGATAAATAGTTAGTGGTCAAGAAAATACTAGTTGAATGTCCTTATAAACAAGTGAATATACAGATTAAATGGAATGGCTTACTTTGTGGGTCCCTGCTTGTCTGTGTAGGTGTCAGGGACTTAGTGCTGGGCAGCCTACTTCCAGAATGGCTTGTTCAAAGATCTTCAAACTGTAGCCAAGGGAGTAGGTGTGGCCCAGGCGGATACAGGAGAAGAGATGACTGCTAGACTGATGTAAGAACCATGAGCACTGTAAAACACACTTCCCCTGCCTCATCTGATCTGAACTGCAATGACCAGCTTCTCTCTGGGAGTGGGAGGAAGGAAGAGGCTGGGTCTTGGACAGCAGACAGAAAAGGGTTTAAAAGTTGTCCCGTGGCTGAGGAATCCCTGACCACATACCTATAGCCAGCTCTGAGAGCACGAGAAAGGGAGATCTCTGTGCTGCTTGGTCCTGGTTTGATGGTTGACCTCCCTCCTGCCATGCACCAGAGTTGGAGAGGCAGAGTGGCTGCTGGAACCAGGTCAGGTACTGCCACAAAGCCTCTTGTGGGTGTGTACAGCTTTGGGAACCACAGAAGTTCTTATTTGTCATAGACTCCATGGCTCATACGGGCTCAGGGCTTTTACAGCTGCATTTGACTTAATATCTTGGCTGTGGCTTGGTGTGGAAAAAGCTCTGAGCCTGGCTGTTGCAGGGAGTGAAAAGCCAAAGGCTGTAGGAAGGGTGAATGGGTGCATTCATTTATTCAACCATTTAGCCACTCCATTAATTAATTTGCTGAATTGGGTTTTTTTCTCATCTTCTACATGTTAATCAACACATCAGGACAATGACCAATGACCAATGACAATGACCAATGCAAAAGATAGACATGGTATCTGCCAACATGA